GGTCTGTTAAAAATAATAATATAAAAATTAAATTCAAAATAAGCCGACGAAGTCTAAACGAAAGTTGTAGAGCGTAATTTTACCTACGCGTGCATATAAAGAACGTCAAAAACGGAGCTCGTATGCGAAAGTTATGGATTTTAGAAGTTTTGGCACAAAAATCGAGAAAAAAATGTTAAATCCGAGAAATTTTGCATGGTGGACTTCGGCCACGTCACCCTCGCTCATAACGCGCCACGTGTCCGAGAATTGCTGAGTCACCGAAGCCAGCTGGCGAGGCGTGTCGCCTGCCCTCGCATCCGAAGCGCGGTCCAGTAGGAGTCCGACGCGTGCCCTTGCTTGACGTATCCGAGCTTCGCACATAGCGCCACGACCGAACCCTCGGACCTAGACCTCGGTCCAATCAGAGGCCAACAGCTCACCCCTCGCACGTGCGAGGCACCTGCCTTCTCTTCGCATCTGCTGCCGCGTGGATTCCTCTCAGCCGTCTGATCAGAAGCCTCGCACCTATAAATAGAAGGGTGCGAGACCTCCCGGGTATATTTTGGAAACTTGTCATTTTGCACCCCTAAACCCATATTTCTTTCATTCCAACTTCCCCCAAAGCCCCAGTATTATACCAAACACCCGAAATACGCCCCGAAGTGCCCGAGAAGCCCGAGAAATTTATCTTTTCGGTTTTGAAGCCCGACCCTCGCAGAGCCCGGTTTCTCAATAAAACTTCCGGTTTTATTAGAAACGATCGTTTTAGGAAACGAAGTGCTGCCCGATTATCATTAAATCATGTGAGTGTGTAGTTACTTTCACCTTACATATAGATATGAAGTATTTTATATAAAATGCGTGCTGTGTGAATATATATTGTTTGTTTATTTGAGATGGATGTTGAAGGAATGATTTATACAGGTTTTTAAATAATTTAAACTGTATATGTATTTTTATCTACAAAAAATGTTGGGTAAAACATGGGTAGATGAAATAGTGGGTGTGTGATGAAAGATGAGTTGGATAAATGAGATGATCAGTGATATAGATCATGAGTTGAGGGTGAGTGGTGAATTATGAGAGAATCACTTACCCAAACGTTGGCCCCCGTCATTCAGCAGAGTATGGATGACAACCATGGACTATTCTAGATGATCTGTGGAACATTAGCAGGCTCGCAACCTGTAAGTGTGTGAACTATATGTTCATCAGTTGTACTCTAAAAACCCATTGGCATGTATTGCAGTGGGGATTCCCGTGAATAATATTGTCGATAAATAAGAGCTATGGACTTAGCACATGTTGTATAAACCCTGGCAGCTATGGACTTAGTGTCTGTTGTATAAACCCCGTCGACGATGTGACTTCGTGCCTATTCCTTAGGATGAATCCTTAGGAATGAGTGACAGTTGATTCTTAGGGTAAATCCTTAAGAAATAAATAAGATAATGGGGTTGGGGTAATTTGGTTGATTGTTTGATGTTTAAGCATAATAAATTTATTTATTGTGGGTTGAAAACCCTATATGCTCATCAGGCTCCCAAGCCTGACCCACTCAACTTTTTATATTACAGGTAGTGGACCCCGAGTATAGTCGGATGATGATGATGAGTGATTTTTGGATTATAGGCCAGTAGTTGTAAATAACTGTTGTAAGGCTTATAATGTCTTGTTTATGCTTTTGATCTGTATCGGAACATGACATCCCGAGGTTTTGATATAAAAGGAAATTATATATTTCTTAAAGAAAGGTTTTGATAAACTTTTATCATGTTTTGTTTTGGGAACAAATTCCGCAACATCTTTTAAAAGGATTACTCTTATTTTATTTTAAAAGCGTAACTTAAATCGGTCTTTCTGGCCGAGAAATTTGGGGATGTCACACCCATCAACTCGTCGAGTTCACCAATGAACTCGCCGAGTTGACCAGAAATTCAACCTCTTAATGCATTAAGTTATTTCCATCGAAACCAAGGACTCCCAATCTCAGATCTCTTCCAAAATGATGTCTAGAAGGGTAAAGTTTCCAACTTTATCCTTAAGAACCATCCATAAAGAGCCAAACTCAAACCCTAGGCTCATTAGAGTGAGTCTTAACCCATTAAGCTCTTAAACTCTCACAACATAACCCCAAAACACAGATCTAAAGTCCAAAGGTTGGAAACTCACGTAAAGTTTCCAACTTTACGTCCATGCAAGCAAGAAATGCTCTCTAGAGCTTAATATAGACTTAGTGAGGGGCTTATTGCATGAATGGGACATAGAAACTAATAAAGTTTGCAAATTTAAGTCAACAGGAGTCATAAAGGGGTCAGATCAAAGTTATTAACCCCTGGAAACCTCAACATCTTGGACAACACAACCAAAATCCCAAAATCATGCTAAAACTTCAAACAAAGAGATCCAGATGAATACAAGGCAAGATGTCGACTTTATACCTCAAAAGAACTGCAACAAATGGAGAGCTTCTGGATCTAAAGCCTTCCTTCCAAACCAAGCACCTTCAATCTTCAAGCCCCTTCCAAAGAACACCAAAACCCCACTCTCCAAGCTCACTACTAGCTCACACACTCAACCTTAAAGGATAACACACGAAATTAGGGTTTTATGGACAAGGAGGCTTGAAGGATAACACACGAAATTAGGGTTTTCCTTCACAGCCGCCAACTCGTCGAGTTGGGACTCCCTGACTCGTCGAGTTGAAACATTAAAACCCGCGGACACAAAATTCTCGACACGACGAGTTGGAGCTCCCCAACTCGTCGAGTTCCCACAAAAACTCCAATATTTTGATAAATAAATAATACCTGGACCAAGCGTTACAGGAGCCACCAAAGTCGACCAAATGAAGGCTGGCAGTTGGCACACAATATATCATATCCACCTTCGTCATGAGGTTCTCCATTTTTTAGCAATCCGTTTTTGCTCCAAACACTAATAAAAGGAAAAAATTTTCATAAATACATATCAATAAACACAATAAACTCATTTTCACAACCACAACTGATGATTACTCTCATAATAGTCCTTATAAAAATTAATTTTACCTGTATTCCTTGTTAAAATGGACTATGACACTGCCAATGCCCATCAATTGGTGATAATTAGCCATCTAATGCAAAGTCTTGGTAATACAAAAATAAATTCTATATGTATTCATACCTTTACTCTCTTTATTTCTTCAATTCTGTGCGAGCTTGCTACATCTGACAACATTGAAGGTGAACACCAATTTCATAATTCATTGGGAATGTATTTAAGCAGGAAAATTTTGAATTCCTGAAAATCACATCCAAAAAACACACATTTTCAGTTTTACAACTTCAAAATGCCGCTTTTACTATATCAAATTCAATAGGTATTATATCGAAAGAAACATGATCCAATAACTTATTTAGGGTAACAAAGCTTACACTCTGATATGGCCTATAAACGCTCTGATGGTTTAATTGTGCATAGAAGGGGATTGAAAAAAACCTACTGTTAGCACGTATCACTTTCCAAATTTTTGTGCACAATCGATTCCAGATGTGGAACAAAACCATCAAATCAAACAAAAAATGCTAAAAATGATCATTAAATATTAGCTTGAAATACGTCGGACAAACTACAATCATAAACCCTAAAAGAACGGAACAAATATGAAACCTGGTTATAAACATCGAAAATTCGAGAAATCGAGTAGAAGCTCCTACTTGTTTATAAACATCGAGAGTTGCGATGCCTTCAAATAACAGGAAGACACAACGAAAATTGGAGACCTAACGTCGAGGACGGGAAATTGAGGGCATGTCGGTTATTTGAGGATCGGGAAGTGAAAGCAATCGGCAGAGTAGATGGAAGGAATTCGAAGAGAAATCAGTTTGGTAGAGAAAAAAAAGGGAACGTTGAAAGGAACATGAAGGTTCTTTGGTGTCTACAACAGATTAATCGAATGAGGAAAAACCAGCCGTAGAACATGGAAGCGGATTGACTGAGAACGGCTGGTATGGAGCCGGCTGCAAACCAGACACTGTTTACCAGCCACATCCAAAATTAAATTAATATATATAATAATTCATGGTAGTTGGTGATGAAATAATAGGATGTCAACGGGGGCAAACTATACGGGGAGTGCATCCCCCGCCCCCGCCCCCAAAATTTCCCTGTTTCCCCGTCTCCGTCCCCGCTCCCGAAATGTTCAGCCTTCCTACCCCTGCCCCCGCCCCCCGAATCCCCTTTATTACCCCTGCCTCCGCCCCCGATTGATTTTGGGCTGCCTTTTTTTTTGCTAAAATAAGTTGTTATTTATGCTAAAAGATGCTATTTTTTAGGTAACAAATAATTATTTATAGCAGAATTTTACATGTTAAAAATAAAAAAGTTATGCATCTTAATAACATTATACTCACAACTTAAAAATATGTTTTTTGATGAATTTTGGAAGCTCAAAATCATATTATTGTTTATTATATTTATACAATTAATATATGTAAATATATGTTTAATTTATTAACGGGTTCCCCATGGGGGATTCGGGACGAGATTATCTACCCCGCCCCCGCTCCCAAACTTAAAACGGGGTTTAATCTTGCCCCCGCCCTTGATTTTTGTTTAAAATTTCTCCCAAACGGGAACGGGATCCAATGAGACTTTTTGACACCCTTATGAAATAATTAAAGAAAGGGATCGATGATTTTTTAAAAGATTGCAATGTCCCTTGACCAAAAATGCGACATTTTGACCAAAATGTTGAAAGATAGATGACCTCTGGACTGTAAATGTAAGAAATAATATTTTTTAAACTATCATTTCAGATTGAATATAAGTTGAAGGGTGATTTTGAGAAAAAATGTGAAAGTGTAGGGCCACACCCCACGACGTCGACCGACCAAAGACCATGATGCGGATGTGGTTGAAAACGGTTCGCCTGGAATTCATCAAACGAGAATTTATTGATCACAAAAATAAAAATAAAAAGAAAAATTGATATCGTTTTTCTTATATGGCCTGCTCTCTCCCACATTCATGGCACCATGGTCCGTAGTCGAAAGTCGCTCCTTCCTTCTTTCCTTACCCTTGTAGCTTTGCTCTCTTCCGAAGCAAGATACCCAAGTCTCTGGACTTCTTTCTCAAAAATTAAAATCTGTAATCTTGTTTCTTGAATTCCTTCGATTAATCCAACACTCAGCCAAACTAAAACTCTTAAAACAATCCCCCGATTCCTCCTGCCTGCTGGTACGTACATCTCACTGCTTGCTATTGATCATGGATCCTTGAATCTTGAATACCAATGTCTTGATTCTACTTTGATTTGGACTGCTGGTGATGGGTTTTGTAGATTTTCAGGATTTGGTATCGGTATCGGTACGCGTTTTGCCGATTAGTTCCTCCGATAAGGAAGTTAAGGGACCGATTTTAACTTGGGGAAGAAGCAGATGTCTAAATTTGAGGGGGTTCTTGTGTCTGATCATTGGCTTCAAAGCCAGTTCACACAAGTTCAACTTCGTACCCTCAAATCCAAGGTTTTTCTTTATAATCCTTCTTGATTCATCGCTGTGTGCGTTATATTATATGTTGTCTATTTAACTGATTATTAGATTGGAGTTGTTTGATATCCCGTACTGATGCTCGAATCGGTTTACTGTTTTTGTGCAATCAATGTGTAGTTTGTATCATTTAAGAATCAAAATGTTGAACTTACGGCTGCGGACTTGCCTCTATTGCTTGCAAAATTGAAGCCTTTTAGCGAGTTGTTTAAGGAGAAGGAAATAGGGGACTTATTATGTGAATCTGGTTTCGACATGAGCAATGAAATTGATTTTGAAGTTTTTCCTCAGGGTAAATATTGGATGTTTACATCTCTTGTTTAATCAATCACATTGATTCTCTTATGAGTTACATTTCTTTATAATGGATTGATTGCAGGGTTACCTGAATTTACATTCACATGCTGCTGCCAAACTGGGCAATTCAAATAACTCGTCTTCGTTTCTTAAAGCAACAACCACAACTTTGCTTCACACCATTGATGAATCAGAGAAAGAATCTTATGTTGCTCATATCAATAGCTATCTTAGAGATGATCCATTTATGAAGCAGTTTCTTCCCATAGATCCAGCTACCAATGCTTTGTTTGAGCTGGCTAGAGATGGAGTTCTTTTATGGTATGTCTTTTTCATCCTCTTTGTCATGTATGGATGAGCATATGTATATATAATTTGATATTTGTATTTGCAGTAAACTCATCAATGTTGCAGTGCCCAATACAATAGATGAACGCGCTATCAACACCAAAAGAGTACTGAATCCATGGGAAAGAAATGAAAATCATACTCTTTGCCTTAACTCTGCTAAGGCTATAGGATGCACAGTAGTAAATATTGGCAACCAGGATTTGGTTGAAGGAAGAGTAAGCTATCATATTAGAGACTTATATCCATAGTTTGAAGCTTTTAAATCTCAAAACACCTGAACCTGATTTTTTTTTTTTTTTTTTGCAGCCTCATCTGGTTCTTGGCCTAATTTCTCAAATTATAAAGGTAGGGCTGTTAATCCAACGGTTGTAGTACTTTTTTAAAAAAAAAAAAAAAAAAAAAAATTCTTCATTTATCTGATGTGACTTGTAATTTTGGCACATCCAGATCCAACTCCTGGCAGATCTGAACCTTAGAAAGACGCCTCAACTTGTAGAATTGGTGGAGGACAACAATGTACTTGTTAATATCTCTCTTCAGTTTATGTGTGCATTTGTATCTATATATAATATATAATATATATGTATGTTATTGTATGCAGGATGTGGAGGAGCTTATGGGATTAGCACCTGAGAAAGTCCTATTAAAATGGATGAATTTCCATCTTAAGAAAGCAGGATACAAGAAACCGGTTACAAATTTCTCATCTGATCTCAAGGTAAATCTCCCTTATTTTTCATTGTGGTTTTTTCATTTGATGTTTATTAACAGGAGTGTGATTTCATGTGTAGGATGGAGAAGCTTATGCTTACCTGCTTAATGTTCTTGCACCAGAACATTGCAGCCCAGCGACATTGGATACCAAGGATCCAGCTGAAAGGGCAAATTTGGTACTTGAGCATGCAGAAAAAATGGATTGCAAAAGATACTTGGCTCCTAAAGATATCGTTGAAGGCTCTGCCAATTTAAATCTTGCATTTGTTGCACAGATTTTCCATCAAAGGTTGGATTCCCTTGCATTGTCCATTGATATTGTTTAATTGTTATGTTATGAGTGAGTAATTAGTAACAAATTTGCAGGAATGGTTTGTCTACTGATAACAAGAAAATTTCATTTGCTGAGATGATGAGTGATGATGAAGAAATGTCAAGAGATGAAAGATGTTTCAGGCTGTGGATCAATAGCCTTGGGATTTCTTCTTATGTCAACAATCTGTTTGAGGATGTCAGAAATGGATGGACGCTTCTGGAAGCTGTAGATAAAGTTTCTGTGGGGTCCGTTAACTGGAAACATGCAACTAAACCTCCTATTAAGATGCCATTCAGGAAAGTTGAGAATTGCAATCAAGTTATTAGGATCGGAAAGCAGTTGAAGTTTTCTCTTGTTAATGTAGCTGGAAATGACTTTGTTCAAGGGAATAAGAAACTCATACTTGGTAAATCATTCACATCTACAAATATTTTCATATCATGTTTCCGTTTGATTGAAATCAATTTGTATTTGTGTACACACACACACACACACACAGCTTTCTTGTGGCAGTTGATGAGGTTTAATATGCTTCAACTTTTGAAGAACTTGAGATCCCACTCTAATGGGATTGGGAAGGAGATGACCGATTCTGATATTTTGAAATGGGCAAATAGAAAAGTCAAAAGCACTGGAAGACTTTCTCAAATGGATAGCTTTAAGGTAGGTTGGATCGAACTCTCCATTCTTTTCTCTTATCAAATTATCAAGTATTAACAATGGTGCTATGCAGGATAAGAGCCTTTCAAATGGAATATTCTTCCTTGAGCTTCTGAGTGCAGTGGAGCCGAGGGTTGTCAACTGGAACCTCGTGACCAAGGGCGCAAGTGGTATGTATGGTTATGGGTTTTTTTTTTTTTTTTTTTTTTTTTTTTTAATTTCATGATATGATGTTTAATTGACATTTGACAGATGAGGAGAAGAAGTTGAATGCAACTTACATAATCAGTGTGGCAAGAAAGCTTGGGTGTTCACTTTTCTTGTTGCCTGAAGATATAATGGAGGTAAAACTGATAGAATAAGACTATAGAAGAAGGGTAAGAATTGGAAACTGATAAATGATATATTAATATGAACAGGTGAATCAGAAGATGATACTTATGTTAACAGCAAGCATTATGTATTGGAGCCTTCAGCAATCTACAGATGAGTCAGAATCATCTCCTTCTCCTTCTCCTTCATCGGTTTCAGCAACTCCAGAAGCTTCACCAGCACCTTCTGTCAATGGTGATGAAGACAGCTCCATCTCCATGAGTGGCAGTGCTGTTGAAATCTTCAACTTGTCCATTGATGATGCAGCTTCTGATACCACAGTCTCTTCTACTCAAGAAAACAACAATGATGCTGGTTTACAGTGATACGTACGTTGCTTTTTTTTATTATTATTATTATTTGTAAGTAAAAGAAAAAGGGAAAGGGGGCAAGAGACAGAGAGTGAGTATACATAAATTGGATAAAAGAAAGGGAACTATAGGTAGACAACATATGAATGCATACTGGAGATGGAGAGAGAGATAGATACGTTGATGTTTTTTTTTTCTTGCTCTGATAAAAGTTTTTTGATATTGTTTTGTTTTATTGAAATAACATTCTTTCTGATGTATGAATTATGATTCACGTTCCATTTTTTATTTGTTTAGATCGATCCATATTCATATAATGAGAGACACGTATAAAGAGATTTATTTGAATATTAAAGATAACATTTTTATTATTTTACTGTCTTAAACATCCTCGTTGACCCACACGACACGACCAACATTTCTCCACCTCCCCCATTATAATTTTTTTTGCTTGTTTTGTTATCTGTCTTTTAACATTTATTTATTAAAGCGTTATAGTTACAATTCAGGTTTTAAACGTGACTTTATATTTTTTAAAACATGTTTATTTTATGTTGAATTTTTAAAATATGAATACCTTTTCAATGACATTTTTATATAATGATGGTACATCCTCTAACAATAAATTTGAAAGCATCCTCTATTTGTATAAGGATAAATAATGTGAGAATTTGTAAAAGAGAAAATTTCTAAGAAAAAAAAAACAACTTATTATTGGGCGTTGACCTAGAAAGTGGAATATATGGATTGGATCAGGTTCTTGACTTTGTTGTTCATGGTAGATGGGAAAACAGGCAATGTAAGCAGAATTGTTGTAGGCACCCGAAGTTGCAGTTGTTCTTGAGAAACTCTTGGTTTTGGAGAGTTTGGTGGAGGGATACTTGTTTTCTCAAAACCCGGACTATTGGATTTGAAATATAGTTAACGGGATGAAATTCACGGTGAGTGAAAATGTGTAATCACCTTGAAATTTTTTTGTTTTCTAGTGGTACTTACCCTATATATTGGAATTCTTTGTTGCACAAAATTTTTCATGTGGCGTGTGGGTTTGGACATAATCCCTATTAAGGAAAATCTTTTGCTCAGAGGGATTGATTTACCCACTTTTATTTGTCCTACGTGCAAACTTTATAATGTGGATCATGTTTTTATTCATTGCGAGATGGTTAAGTGTAACATCTCAAAATTCAAGACAAAAAATTTCATTTTTAATTAAGTTATTATAAAACCAATTAGTATAGAAACATCCATAATAACATCCCACGTCAAAACCAAAGTGTTAATAATCAAAACATGTTATCATAAAACAATATTAGAGTGTAATCCCGAGGATCTCATATGCGGAAAACATAGTGTGATGCGCTACGATCGAGCCGACTCATTTCCTTTGAAAACGAAGTATCTGAAACCAAAACTGAAAACCGTAAGCACGAAGCTTAGTGAGTTCCCCCATCATACCACACACCATACAAATAACATACTGTCAGGCATATCGGGGTGCCCGACCTACCCCATGTCAGGCATATCTGGGTGCCCAACCTACCCTGATGAGCATACCGGGGTGCTCAACCTACCCCATTGTCAGGCATACTGGGGTACCCGACCTACCCCATGTCAGACATATTTGGGTGCCCGACCTACCCTCCGGTGTATTTCAACCGGTTACGGGGACTATTCCCCCTACTACCACTATCACATGACATCATACCATACTAGCACATAAAGCATAACAGATAGTGGCATATCAGACAATTATCACAAAGACAATCATCTAACAAACAACTCCTACTAGTGGGCCGACATTGTAGCCTTAGACCCACTTCTAATGGAAGGTAACTCACCTCGAATGTTGAAGCTCGCTGCCCAAACTCCCTAGCTGCTGCCCTGACGGCTTCCCAAGCTAACAATTTCCAATACAAAATCCAATTAGCAACTAAGTTCTAAACCATGAACCATAATCCAAATCTTCGGGTAAAATGACCATTTTACCCCTGGCCCAACAAGACTCATAACTAAGGCCCAAGCCCAAAACCGTTAAGGTCCAAAATCATAATATCCATAAAAACCCAAGGTATGGCCCAATTTCCAATTGGGCCCCATTCCTTCGTATGGGCCTCAACCTAGAGCCCAATAATGCTTTTCTAATCCAAAAGGTCCAAGTCAAAGTCAACATTCTGGTTGACTCAACTCGCCGAGTTGGTCCATCAACTCGTCGAGTCCTATAAGCCATAAATCTTGAAATCGCGATCCAACTCGTCGAGTCCTTCATCAGACTCGTCAAGTTCTTCCCTATAGCAGAATCGGGACAAACCGGAACAACTCGTCGAGTTCTTCCTTGCAATCGACGAGTTCCTCAGTCTTCAAAACTCGGAGAACCTTAACCATTCACTGAGTCATCTCCTAGACTCACTGGATTTGCTCCGGAGTCAGAAAAAAATGGAATCACGATCCAACTCGCCGAGTTGCATGAGCAACTCGTCGAGTTTCTTTCAGCCCTCACTCATTCAGTCGATTCCAATCGAGTCTAATGCTTCTAAATCATAGATCTGGTTCCCTAGGGCTAGCATAACACGTAAAGTTGCTAACTTTACATCCATGCATGGTGTTGTGAGCTAGAAACACCAAAAACCAAGCTATAAAGGAGATCTAGGGCATGGAGAAAGGCCATGGGTCAATAAAGCTAGCAACTTTGAGCGTCATGAGCTTATATGTGCCTAGGTCTGAAGTCACAACTCCATAATACATTCAAATCCCGAAAATGACTTCAAAATGGCCCAAAAGTGACAACATACTATCCTAAATGAGGATCTAAGTGATAGAAAGCCAAGGTATAAGCTTTATACTTCAAATGAGTCTGACATGTAGCTTGAACTCTGGATCTACTGACTTCCTCTTGAATCTCCAAGCTTTTCCTTCCTTCACAAACTTCAAAATCACGAAGAATAGCTCAAACCTCTTCAAAAACGGATTAGAGTTTCTTAGTTAGGGTTTATGACGATGGAGGCAGCAAATGAGGCCAACAAGTGGAGAATAGGATGCTTAAATAGGGTGCAAAACCCCGAAATTAGGGTTTCATTTTCCAGCTCCAACTCGTCGAGTTGGTCCTCCCCAACTCGTCGAGTAGGTTTCTCAACCCGCATCCAAACTTATTCCTACTCGTCGAGTTATCCCCCTTGGACTCGACAAGTTGACCTTCAATTTGCATATTATCCTTCCTTAATTTTGTCACACCCCCAAACCAAGGATGGCGGAAACGTCCGGGGGTGGAAGACTTCATGTATAGTATCACAACAACGAGTATAATAGTGCTCAAAGTAAATACAACCATCATGGATATAATCGAAAAAGTTACACCATAGTATGTGTTTACATGTTTCAAATCAATTATATTATGATGACAAAATGAAATGTTTGACGATTTAACGTCCCATCCTCAAAAGCGGTTGATTTCATGTTTCGCTGAATTCCTGAGAATACAAGTAGTTTGAAAAAGTGTCAACAATTAAGTTGGTGAGTTCATAAGAGTTTTATTTGAGAAAGAAGCTGTTTTCCTTGTAAAAAAAGCGATAGAGTATAATTCCAGAAAATTCAATATTTTCTTTATTAAACGCGAAATGAACTCTCCTATGTTATGCAATAATGTACCCTAGAAAGATCTGTAGATTCCTTCTATAATCACCCAGTGTATATAAGTTATATAAAATTTAGTTAAATAAATTGTCGAATATAATGGGTCTGCCCTAGATCCACAACCAAACAAGGAACAGGAAGTAAGGCGGGCCCACCAATTCTAGGTCGATTGCGACTAAATTCATATATAACTCTAACATGCACACTTAGCAAATTATAGCTGAAGTCTAACAATCCTAGATGAAACGTAGTTTTAATATCATGAAAGTCATTTAGTAATAAATCTGGTACTTTGTCATGTATACTTCAAGAAAATCCCTTATTTTCCTTATAAAAGTTATGTAGCCTTAAATCCCAAGACCGAGAATATGAGTGTGTGTTTTGTACTTATGATGTTTATAATCGTAATGCGTTTCCAAAGAAAATCCAATATTTTCCTTATAAAAAGTTATGTAGCCTTAAATCCCAAGGCCGAGAATGTGAGTGTGTGTGTGTTATACTATTAATGTTCAAGTCGTTTTAGATAGATAAAACCCCTTTTCAAGGTAGAATTTTCCCTGTAAACTTGAAAGATTGTTAACTCCCTATGTGAGTCGTTATAACCATACTATGACGAGAAATAACCTGCAACAACGTTTTTCAGACGTCAGGATCTTATGACTCTTGTCACCCGCATACTTGTCGGTCCGGCTGTAGCTAGCAGCGAGGTGTGGGGTGTCAATCCCAATATAGATCTATACACAATTATCACGCTCTCCCTACAAGATTCTCTGGTTATAACTTACAGGATTTTCGAACCCGTACCCTAAGTGTATGATAGAGAATGTCTCACAACTTACGTTAACTAGTTTACATATAGTTTTGAGTATAAAACCTCTTCCGTGGTGGAAGTGAAATCACCTTCTAAGAAATAAATTAGTGATATGAAATCCATAAACTATTAATATTATAGTTTATCATGTAGTATATGAAAAACCCATTTGTTTTGAGAGTAAAACCTTTTCCATGTAGTATGCTTTTATCGGAAATTTCATAAACCATACTTATTATAGTTTATTATATGTGTTCATAATGAATGGAAAAGTCCTTAACATGAATGACTAATTTCTGTTTATGATGGTAAACTAACAAGAATGCATCCAAACATTTAGAAACTTATTGTTATGCACTTTGCTCAACATACTACAAAGTGTTGTTAATATGGTAAGCTATGTAACTAGTTTTTACTCTTTCTACACTGTTTTGAAAACATCATAGAAAAATCATACGAAGTCGAAAACTAAATCCGTAAACTCTTAGAGTTTAGAAAATGTGTCTAGTTTATTCATAATTTTTATTATGATTTTTAGAAGTCTCTAACTTATGTGAAAGTGTTCATATTCACAGACTGGTCCGAATTCGTTTCTGAAATGATAGGCAGTTTTGTAAAAATCACCATAAATCGTAGAAAAATCGTATGGAGATGTGCAAGTAGTCATTTTAAAGGTATAAACCTGAAATACATGCATATTAAACAGTTTTGAAAAATATTAAGTTTAAGTTGGGTAAAACAGTTCGTGAACAGGTCACAACTTTTCTATTATAAGCTGCCAAGTTAAGTTTCAAATATGTTTTGGTGTTTTAACTTGTATTCCCCCCCTGAAAACTGAAGAAAACTAGAAAATGTAGGGGTATGAACTCACCTTGAGTGATTTCTTGAAGAGTGGA